TTGCATGAATTACAAGGACGATAACTAGTCATTAATCGCATTAATCCTTTCGATTAAGCAAAGTATCCACACAGTTCACGCAAATCTTGCGTAGTCGCTAACAGCCATGTTTCCAGGCTACGTAATAATCCACGGCTATATGATTTTCGTGCTTCCTAGAATAAACTAGGAGTATGAAAGACCAAAGAAGTAATAGTAACACATTCGTAAAGCATGTCACTAGAATGTAAAACTGAGACAGACATGAATTACCAGTCAAGTTCAGTTGCAATGTGTTTTATAATGCCTAACACAACTAGCTGCTTAAGAGTAAGCCCGAAAGCATGTAAGGAGCTTTATCTCAAAGGTCAAACCGATATTAATGTAGATCATGCAGACCGACAAAGAGATATCAGAAAAGAACTTGACTACGCGAATAATCGACTTATAACAGTATGCCCAAGCTTGTATTTCTAATTCGCGTCGTAAAACAGTATATGACTTGTTTGGAATACATCGACCTATCAAATATCTTTAGCTCCCTCTAATTTTAAAATATGATAAGAATAACCAAGAGCTCAGACACCACGCACAGATTCATGTTTTAGATTATAAACCACACTAAATGTCTCCCAGTTGATAGTCTAGACCTCGGCAGGTTGACCCATGATTCACTGGTCGAACGTCAGATTTCGAAGCATATAGGGTACAATTTTATAATAATAAATAAGAAAATGTAGTAATATTATGAGATAGTTATCGTGTTTAAAAGGTTATTTTCGGAATTCCTGATGTCAGATGAGGACAGAATGTGGAGTGATAAGCCTCAAGTAATGATGCATCCCTTTATTTCTAGTCCTATTTTTTAAGGCATCGTGGTTTCCACTCAAAATTTTTTGACAGGACAGTAGGGAGATGGAGATGATCTGGAAAATGTGATGTGTTTGCGCTATATATTCTGAACAATCTGGTAATACGTATACTTAATGAGGTGTTTATATGTCAAAAATAATGAAAATCAATTAAATAGTTCAAATAGTGATAATTATAAATAAAGGAGAGAAAAACCTAATATGTAAAGAATAGTAATTCGTCACACTCTCATATACCGTAAGGTGCCTTAAAAAATTACCAGCCGTGATAAAAGGTGTCGAATCGCTTTTGCACACAGCCATAAAAAGACATAACGCTGCTAAATTGATTGTTGCCTAAAAAACCAGATATGGCGTAGCCGTCTGTACGGTGCCTAAGGCTTGTGCGAAATCATGGAGTCTTTTTTCTTCAAAAACAGCAAGTTTAGCAGCGCAATTTATGTTCTCCATGGCTGCTTTCAGTGTTAGAAAATTATGCTGTTTAACTCTTTTCTAAATGGTAAATAGACATAGGTTCTTTTCTTCTCAAAAAAGTCATAAAGGGTTTTTGGTTTTGGTGTGAAATGACTTTCACACTGATGTTAATAGATGCTTTTAGTCTGTCTCACATCCCACTGTATTCATCAATTCACATCCATGTGTGAACACAAACATAGGGCCCGACCGTTGCTGCCACCTTGACGTGGTGGTCGGGTTCGCCTATCGTGATGAAAAAACCGAGCTATACTGGCTGGAACAACCGTTCCTCAATGATAGTTTCTACCACGAAAGTCAGGCAGATCGGCTGAAGAGCGGTAAGACAAAAAGCAGCAAACCCAAGGTCCGAGGGACAACCCATACTGTTGACTTCACAGAGGTGTGACGGCAGTAATGTTTCCTTCAGACAACCAGTATAACAGCGATGCTGCCTTCTCACAAAAAGGGTTAGCAAAGGTCGACCCTAAAAATACACACCTCGCCTTATCCCACATATATCCGTTTCCGGTGGTAAAGTCTCAACAATTACTCACAAAAAGGTCGTGGGTGACCGAACTCAAGTAGCTGTCCCTTGGGTATTGCGGTCACGCTCTCAATCATTAAGACCACCTCTAACCCAATTTCAAGTACCTCCAGGAGAACCCTTCCACGGTGTGGGTGGTCGGGAAGTGACAAATGCCCTCATACCTCTAACATCGCTCACGATCACTGTATTCATAATCAACCTCCCTCTTCAATCCCTTTTATTTCTCCTACATCGAATTTCTACACCAAACTTCACCCTCAAATGTCACCATAGCCAACGATTCTAGTGCACAAAACACTCCCAGGTCTACTGAAACTTCGCTCCAAGCTACACACTAGAGCCTTCAACGTACGCACCCTGTTTTGAATCGGCTAACAGGCTGTCCACCTTCATTTTTTTAACTTCATCATAAACACACTGATGGAAATAACCTTCTCCTCGACTGGATCCTCGGGCATTGATCTCCTTCCAGAAGGTCCACTTATCGATCACATAGTCCTGTTTGGTGAAGACGCCTATAAAATGCAGTCTTCTGGTAGCACTGAGAAACAATGTCAGAATGTGTCGGATGAGTTTCTCCCCTCTCTGAATTCAAGTTATTGCTCCAGGATTGGCATGCATCAACAACAGAACTAACGATAAGAAGTGAAGTAGTCGAACGCGTCCACAACTTCACTTATCTTCGAAGTCTCAGCCCTAATCGGTTTGTGTCTCACGAAATCTCAGCACGCATTCAGAAAGCTCTTTTGGCCTTTACCAACTTACGTCACCTATGACGGAGGCGAGATATCCGTCTATCAGTTAAGTGATGAGTATACTGAACAACAGTTCGTTCTATTCTACTTTACGACTGTGAAACATGGCCATTAACGAAGGGTAGAAGATACTCGTAAGCTACTAGTATTTGACCACAGATGCCTTACAAACATTGCTCGCATCTGCTGCCATCACCAGGTAAGTAATAGGTAGGTTAGACGCAGGGTATTAGGGAATGATGGTTAATCAGTTGATGAGGTTGTGAATCTTCATCGACCGAGATAGTTGGGCCACGTGTTACATATGCCCGAACACCGATTACCACGACGCCCAACGCTGACTAGTGTTGGGAATGGTTAGAAGAAAGTTAGGGGCGACAAAACCAAAACGTGGCATCAGTCCTTGGAGTTACTAACTTCTAGTCTGAGCCGTGTTCGTAGGTACAGACTATTTGGTTGGGGTCCGCGTGACTATCGTAACCGATGGTTAAGGACACTAGGTGACATGGATCAGAACTGATTACAAGGGCGTCGGTGTATACACTCTCTGTCTTCCTTTAAACTAGGAGATTAAAATCGCTTCATATCTTTCTTTCCACGAACTAATTCTTTCTTCCTGTACTCAATCCGTATACGCAATTTTCCTTTTATATATTACCACCATTAGATTAACCACTTCTATGAACCCGGTGTTCATGTTGTTGTGCTAATGAGGTGTGGCAACTTGGACCGATGCATGTATGTGCCTGGTCCTACGTTTTAGCTGACTGACTGACATACATAAGGATGAGTAGTCGGACAACACACTAAAGGATTATGGATTATATATTTATTTGACATTAGAATCAATTAGTATCAAATAATCCGATAAGGAGTGGAAAACCATCATCAATAGCGAATCGATTTGAGTTTGCCACTGGGAGAGCGTTACGAAGTACTATACAGCCCGTTTGCAAAAATATTTTACACACACAAGAGAGACAAATGATTTGATGGCCTGAAAGAAACTATCTATGAACGTTAAAGTATGCCGAATTGGTGAACAGAAAACTTCGTTACGCTAGTAGGGATCTACATAAGAGATCGGGCAGCTTTGACAGAATCAGAATATGACCACAGGAATGGCATTAGGTTTCACATTTTCACAAGCTGCTCCAGTAACAATAACAATGTGAATAATCAGAAACGCGAAATCGAGTACTTGACCGATTACTTTTTAACGAATTAAAATGGTATTCTTTTGGAAACCAATTCAGAAAGTAAATACATCTTAAAATGCAAACGACTTGTGCTAGGACGACGACAAAAGATATCTGGTATTGTATGCTGAGATTAGTTTCTTGCCTTTTAAGTATAGTGCGTCTCTACTGGTTTGCGTTAATCTTCGGCACAACAAAGAGTTAGTCGACTATGTTGATTACTGCACTTAACATCAACTAAAGAGGAACTACGAGTCCCCATTGGTTGAAATATTTTCGCACGGATACGAAAGCTCAGTTGGCTTAAAAGATCAACCGGAATGAGATGCCAAATGCAATAACCAGAAATAAAATTGATAAGACTAATTGCAATGGGACCATTAGATGAATGTGTAGTTAACGTTGGAAAACATATAGCACGGTAAATCCGAGCAAATAGAGTAAACCACATACCTTTTAGCCTTGGATTAATAGTATTACCTTTACAAATGGTCTTTAGTACAGTAAATCCTCGCTGTATATGTAGAAGTTGTATTTTGAAGCAAGTTCTGAAGAAAACTTAAAATGCCAGTGTTTTTGGAAGTTGCTCATCCAGTCATTAAACCTTCCTACTTAAACGTTAGCAGATGAGTAGTTCTTCAAAGCAAACCACCACCATGAATGAGGCAGTCATTATTCGAAAATATGTATGTCACAAATTTATTTTACTTTCTCGTTTTGCTACAGCTAGAGCGTAATGCTTGATAAAAGACCAGTCGCACAATACGTTGCGTTCCTCAGAGTCGTGATTTAAGAGGTGACAACTATTTACGAGCATCTTCTGCAAGGCAGATAAGCATCCAAAAGAATCAAGGTGGGCATATGACTGATGAGTCATGCATTAGTAATTTGATTTAGACGTACATTTCGGAGTTATGACCCTGACTGGCAAGTAAGGTCTTCTGATCTCACGACTACACATAAGAGACCAAATACAAATTTAGCACAGGAGTGAACACAATGTGTAAAAACTGGTCTTTTCCCATGAATTATTTAAAGTTTAACTATGTTAATTGACGTTGTAGGACGGTGTCTACACATCCGATTAAAATGTGGTCTTATGTAAAAGACAATGTTTTATTGATTCTTCACATATCTATTTTGAACATGAACGAAGTGGAGAACTGACGCAGCTCCTGAAATGTTAGGAATACTGGTGACAAGCTGTTACTGCTTATAAGATTTCTAATAGGAAGTCACTTCGGATTAATAGGACGGACTTACTCGAGTAACTGGTAATTAAAAACCCATGAAAATTTTCTTATTGAAGATATACTTTCATCAACACTGTCATTTGATCTGCTGCCGTATTACTCTTTCAGATCACAAGAGCTTATGAGAGGGGTACGTGAGATGATTAAAAATAAAATATTCAGCTGACAAAACAAGTACTTGCGAGCAGGAGTGTATTTGTTCGGTAGGAGCTAAAACTCACTATTTACTACCCATTGACTGAAATGTTAGAAATGGTCATATTGCATTTAGTAACAGGTCAGAACCACATCAGCTATCATGTGTGATAAAGGGATAATAGTTCCAACAAAACAACTCTATGTATTTTTCTCTGGATTATACAACGCTATTAATCGTCATAGTCAATTAGAGCCAACTCAGGTTCGTCATATCCAAGTTGTCCTAAAGTTGGCAAACCGAGTTGTTTCATGGTGGGTTCAATCTCTTTTTGAAGCCACTCCCAAGCACCTTTGGCAACGTGGCACTTGAACTAAGGAACAATCGAATTGCGATAGAACAACCTACCTTCACAGATTCAATAAACCTTATAGCCAGAGCGATGTCGTTGATGCGTCTACAAGCCTTAAGGCCACTAATCACCACTTCTGGGGGAGGAACGGCGTCTTCTAGATGAAGTTTTTGCATCCATGACCTAGCCCCCCAACCGTCAATTTTTGGATCATCAAATGCATTCACGAAACGGGATCTGAATACTTCGTAAGGCTCGGTTGCATTTGCATATTCTGGATTAGTAGAATGGTTTGCACATGGTTTAAAATAAATATATGGGACAGTTTTATGGCAACCTTTAAAAAAACATGATTCGCTAAACAGTTATACTTTTTATAAAGTTGACAGCCGTAGAACGAATCATCCCCACAGCCACACAAACGAAAGAGGTGCCTTAAATAGTATTCTATGTTCAGTATCTGCATGTATAAGAATCGAACGTTGAAGGGTAAACTACTTCAGCATTTAGTCTTCAGAAATAAGGATAGGAGGTCTATCGACCTATATTAATCCTTCCACTTTGTAATACTGTGGAGGTCCAATCGCGTTTTGAATATATCAATAGGTGCTGATATTACGTGTCCCGGTAGAGAATTCCAGTAATTCACTACTCAGTGCAAGAAACGAAACTCCAAACGTAAACTATTTGATCTCGGTTTTTGAACTTTCTTTGAATGTCCTCTCAAACGATTAGTCCTAGAAGGAAGTAAAAGATAAGATATGTTTATACCAAAGTCATCGTTCAGTATACGATAAGCCAGTATTAGATCATCCTGTATTCTACGGTAAGATAACAGAAATAAGTTAAGGTGTCTCAGTATGTTTCCATAAGATAGGCCCGACAGACCTTGTACCATCTTAGTACCTCGTCTTTGGACTCTTTCCAGCATGTCTGCTTCATACTTGAAACAAGAATTTGCTGCTTGGATCCCATATTCTAAATGTGGTCGCACATAAATCGGGTATAGTAATCTAAACATTTCATCATCTAAATACTGGAAAGATCTACGAATTGACCATAATACCCTATAGCCTTTCCCAGCAGCAGCCTTACAGTGACTAGTCGTTTTGAGATCATTGCTTAATATGATTCCTAAATCTTTATATTTTCTTACTTCGGGCAGCACGAATCCACGTAGTGTATAGTGATACGATTCGTCAGAGTTATTTAACTGCATCACTACACTCTTATTAGGATTTACTTCTAGTGACCACCTGTCTAACCATGCCACCAATGAGCTAAGATCATCCTGTAATACCATTCTATCCAACATACTATGTATGGGTCTCCAAATCTTTATGTCATCAGCGAAGAGTAGAACGGATGATTTTGCTACAGTTGGCAATTCATTTACATAAAGTAAAAAGAGAAGAGGACCCAGGATTGTACCTTGGGGAACCCCACGTTTTACAGGTACCCAAGAGGAGAGAGCCCCATTAACCCTTACCCTTTGTCTCCTGTCATGGAGAAAGTTACTTATCCGATCGACGATTGTATATTGGATTCCAAAACGTTCTAGTTTGAATTTGAGATCAGAGTGGGAAACCTTATCGAAGGCCTTACTTAGATTTATGAAAATCACATCCACAGGAGCATTCCGATCCTTTACCGCAGCCCAATCTTTTAGTGCAATGAGAAGATTTGTCAAGCAAGATAGGCTTTTCCGAAAACCATGTTGTGCCCTGGAGAAAAGCTTTTGCCCTTCAACATAGTTTATAACATCTATCCGAATGATTTTCTCCATCAGTTTTACAACTACACTAGTTAAGCTAACGGGCCTATAGTTACTAGCTAAATCCCTGCTCCCAGCCTTATACACCGGACTTATTATAGCGTCTTTCCAGTCTCTTGGCAGTCCAGACTGCACCAGAGACATGTCAAACAGTATCGCTAATGGTTCATCAATTTCATCTGATATGGCTTCCATAATCCTAGGATGAATATCATCAGGACCACTTAACTTATCAGGTTTGAGATGCTGAAGTAGCCTTAAAACAGTATCTTTCTTAATGACTACTGTGTCCATCAGCGAGCCGCCGCGATCACAGTGAATCGTCGGTTGTCCCTCATTACCGATAGAAAACACTTTACTGAAATATTCCGATAAAGCTTCAGCTATTTCGAAATCATTTTCTGCCAAGATTAAAGAATTTTCTTGTGTCTAACGTGATGGAATTCCATCGCTTCTCTAATTTCACGTTTGTAAATACGAGAATAACCGTTTCGGACTATTTCTAGAATCCCTAACCAATTGTTTTTCATATGATCTTCTAGTCTTACTTATTAACGCTTTACAGGCATTCCCAATCTTACAATAACTGGATCTGTATTGTTCTAAGCCAGTAGAGACGAACATATTCCAGTGCTTCTTCCTTTTTCTAACACGTTTCCTGACTGTTTTAGTTATCCATGGTGGACTGTTGTTCGTTCTTCGCAGTACCAGGTATGGTATGAACGAGGACGTAACTAAACTAAACTTACCCTTAAATACAGACCATGTTTCTTCAACTGATAACTCCTCTAGCGTTATCTGGTAAGATACTACAAATATATTCTCCCAGCTTCTCTAAATCATGCGCGTGTTTAATTTGGGGATCAGGGTCATTTGACTCCAGCAGTTTGCTCACAATAATATTCGATGATATCAGATTCTTTATCCCAGCCTCGCCAAAGTGGGTTTCTCTCATACTATCAGATTTTAATAGTGCATTTTGTGACTCACAGTGGGAGTCCACCAATGACTTGCCAACCACCTGAGTACCGCCTAGAGCTGTTTTCTTTTCGTCCCATTTTCTCCGTACTGTGGTTCATTTTTCACCCCTCAGGACACTGGGACTATTTGGAGCTGTGAAATTTTTATCTAAATCTTCAACTTCCACTATAGGTGCATGGTTATCAATGTCAGTGTCAGGTGTTACTACTACCTCTTCGTTAATGTTAACCGCGATTTCACTTATCCGTCAGTCAAAGTGCGGTGTTTGAGTTTTCTCGTAACAGCAGGTACCACACTGACACATTCGTCACTTTCAATGCTCGTGCCATCAGCGTGTAGCGGTAAATAAATCCCCAAAATAAATAGCTCTATAAGTTTCCGACATTGAATGCTGACAATATGTTTTAGTGGACTCATTTAGCTGAAGGCGCTCGGTCAGGCATCCGCACCAGATCACGTGTGTTAACGTTGTGCTCAACATTTACCGCAATCGCTAGCCAGATCAGATCAGAGAATTCCGATATATTGGCAATCGCCAAATACATTCTTCCGATCTCCTCGACTCTGACTTTTGATTTTTACTCAGTGGGTACAAATTATATTAGGTGTTACTGGTAAAAGCATTGTCAAACACTAAATACCTGTGTCATCTTCAAGCGCATGCGCCATAGTTCTTTTTACAGGTCAAAATCAATAGGCTCATAGTCTCCTGTATTAATAACGTCTTATTTGCACAGCAAAACATTCAAAGTCAATGTGAGTTAGGCTTCGAACATCTTTTGTATGCATTGGGAGTTAAACGGGTGCACATCTCACGGAACCACTTTTTGTATTCATCACAATGTATTACTTCCTCCACAGGCAACAAACAATTTTGTCGTCCACATCTGCGAGCACTACCAACCATTTTAGTCAAATTAAGGAGTAAAACAAATTATGATCACAGTATGAACACAAGTGTCATTCAATGAGTAAAAGGGTACCACAAAAGAAACCTTGGCAAGATTTGAATCCTCAACTAAAGTGCTTTGATATAAACCAAGAGTGCTTTTGATGCAACAATTACACAAAAACAAGGATAATCACAGCAAGTACAAAATAAGTGCCCTTTTTGAAACACGTGCCTACGTACTGGGAGAGCATCTTTGTTAACGGCATGTTGCAATTCTTTTTTGAACCTAAAAACAAAAACATTATTTGGTAGTGACGGTACTAATTGAATAGGGACATTCAGTTTCAGTTTGGATAGAGCAGGAGGCTAGATGACTTGTGTTATTCTTGGCAATGATGGTCTCTCAATTGATCCAAATTTCTTTTGAGAGAGTTGACAGATAATGAATTCCACTCGCTGATGATTCGATGGGAACGTCGACTGTCAGCTGATAAGTTGTTCTGGTCTTGTGCACTATTGTTGGAGTTTCCTCGTGAATGCTCTGTTTCGAAAGACAAGAAAAATGAAGGCATATCAGGTGTAAATTTATCACTATATAATTGGAAATCCGTGACAAAATCTTCTCCAGTTCTTCGATATGACGACTGGAATAGGTTTAGTTTGGCCAGTAGAACATGATGGATCCGCGATTGGAGGACTACTACATCCATTATCACAAAGGTACGAGTATTTACAAAAAATTGACAATGCAAGATACTCAATGTTCCTTGACCGGATATCATCAGCACTAGCTCACTGTGGGAGAAAACGAACCAGCTTCCAGCTGAAGAGGAAAAGACCCTGGAAGTGAGTAGGACATACATTGAGAAAATCACTAAACTGCATCACCTGTCATGTGCTAACTTAGAATCCTGAAGGGAAACGGAGAAGTGGTAGGTCGAAGAACACACTGGGTCGAAAATCAGAAGCAGACATGAAAAGGATGAATAGCGACTGGAAACAATAGGGAAGGATTGCTCGTGACAGGTTAGGATGGAGAATGCTAGTGGACGGCCTATGCAACTCCACAATGGGTAGCAGGCGTAAGTGTGTAAGTACGATTGACCTAATGGAGTGGAGAGAACTAAGAACACCACGGTATGTAGTTTTCACGTTTTTCTGAAAGCTTATTACCACAGAGTGAGTTCAGTAAGTATTTAGAATTGTAGAGATCAGAGTAAAGCTAATTAAAACGAGTCACATGTCGTTGTGCTTTTGAAATCTTCACCAGCCACCTCCGTGGAGGATTTCGATTGCCCAACATCAACGTTTGTAACGTATACGCTTGTCGCTCACCTCTTGTCATACTGAGTGTGAATTGGCCTAAGTAGTTCTCCTGTCTGCAGAAATGTCACTTTTAATTAATTTTCTTCATCTAAGCTAACTAAGCATCATAACGATGTAAATACACAATTATTGAAGTTTGCTCCAGGTTTTTGTTTGACTTTTCATGGATTTATTACGCTTAGGCACTTAAATACGTTTATCTTAAATTTATCATTAACAAGTATATGGATATCTGATACTTGTTTAATAAAAACTGTCAATATAACGTTGTTCTAGAGTATTTTCTCTGGTTTGCTGGATAAATTTACTTTTTTTTACGTCAGAACATGTTTTGGAATAAATTATTTGCATTATGGTGCTTCGATTCTACTAATCGTCACTAACCACATCAGTCGTCTTAAAGATAGACTTGATGTTTTATTCTTCTTTTGGTTAAAACTCCCGTGGATTATGTGCTTTTATTTAAAAAGTTCAAATTTCATGTGCACGTATGTCTTGTTTTAACTTACACACTTTTTTGAATATCAAAATCATAGTTTACCGTAGGTATCATTACAAAGGTTTGATCTGGTAATTTCGAATAAATTGAGCATTGGGTAGATTGGTCTACCAATCCGTTCAATAAGTGTGTAGTATCAGCCATTTTGGGAAATTTTCCGTTTATTTATTGAATGAGTACTGCTTGTGAGAGTATAATTTTTGCTATGAATTTCATTTCAAGCTCTAATTTTCACTTCATCAAATATCTTCATTCGGAAATCTGAGGCAAGCCTTAGTGATGTATTTATAGAAAGCATAGAAAACACTTCTTTCTTATTTAAGTATAATCCTAATGAGTTGTAATTTACATGTGAATCCAGTTTCATTTAAGATAACATGGGTATGTCTGATCACATTGAATAGTATAATTTCAAATGTATCTACAAGCTCCTCCCTATTGAAGACTCGATAACCGATCGTCACCATCTTCAACATTAACATCAAAACAAGCATTAGCAAAGAAATTCTTGTTGTTATTCCTTAACTTACTGATATAAAGCAGGCAAAATAGTGACTAGTCAGCATTCAGATATCGGTTCAGTTCTGAACACAATCCATATTTAACACTTAAAAAACGTCAATTTTTTGATGAGAATCAAAATATATATTGACTCAAAATAAATGTCAACGCATCAACAGATTCACTTCTGAAATCACGACTAAATAATGAAATCGCAGAAGTTAATTAACCCATACAAAATTTCAGGCTACGTACTCATGCATAATCAAGAGATGCAACATTCAGAAAAAAATGCAAAAGACCAAAGTATATCTGTCAAAACGAATATTTTTGCAAAAATAGTACAAAATAAATTCTCTTCTGTATAAAATATACATTTTTTCTTTAATGTATACGTGGTGACATTTAAAGATGGAACGTTGGACACAAATCTGATTATTTACTCGGTTAATACACGGTTAAACGAAGCTCGGGAGAGATGTTACCCTTGACCAAGGAATTCACGTTTACCTTCATCGTTCACTGCACAGACATGCTTGAGAGGAGAGGAAATAATCAAAGGAGAAAAAGTGAACAATATTAATATCTTCTCTGAACAATGTGAAAGCAAATCTGACTCATCATCTCATTCATTCATTCATGCATTCAAGTGATACATGTTCCGTTTGTTGGCCAACGTAATAACTCGCTCACATTCATACCTACTCATCAATCTCCAACTCATGTTATTCCACACATCCAAATGGATCATTCCACATATAATAACAAACACAAATGGGAAAACAACAAATTATCCACTCATCCAATTCACTTACTGGCAATTCACGGAAGCGATCGTTGTAGTCGATACCATAACCAACTATGAATACATTCGGTACTTCGAAGCCAACATCTACAAAATGTCATTTGATACGAATCAGTTTGATGGAATAAGTTGAAATGACGAGTAATGATGCGTGTCTGATCAAAAGTAGGCTACACTCGTGTGACACAGTTTTACTTTGCACGTTGTTACAATTGATCACTGAATGAACCATTTAATGTGGTTTTGAGTGACTCGAATATACACTTGGTTTAATTTTAACAGAGATCAAAATAACTTGTGAGGAATGAATTGACTGTTGAATTCTCTTACACGGTTGCTATATTTCTGGTTGGATGTGTTATCAGTGGTCAGGAACACTGTGAATAAATTCTCTTTAGAAATGGAACTGGAACACGGTCAATAGGTATTATTACACAACCGGTCAAAAACACAGTAGTTCTTCGTTGTTCAGTGATGATCGGGTTCCATCTAACAATAAATCAGTGGATGATGTCTCACTCTCACTCTATGAATACCTGTTCAATGAATTAGTTCACAACGTCTATCCCCAACAGATTCTCTTGTACTATTGAAATGATTCTGACAAGATCAGATCTTCATTCGATGACTCACATCTTTGAACCTAGAACGATTCAATTTACATACACTTGAACACTAATCTAGTCAGCCATAATACGCATAAGTAGAGATACAAACAAATTAACATTTGCACAAATACAGTGATCGTTCTGTTACGAACAATTTCAGTATTGAAGACTTACAGGTTGGTTTATATCCAGGAAAAGTTATTGTTTGTTTTTTACTAGAAAAACTATTATTTAAATATAAAAAAAGCATTTAAACATGATGTTATTGTAAGTTTAACTAATAACAATTATAACTTCTAATATAGTAGTATATGTAAACTATTAAATATTAATTTAATAACAACAAAAAGAAAGAAAGAAAACGCATACCATAGAGATAAACAGGAAAATGAACTATTTGGTGGTATTTCTTCAATGAGATTCGGAATTCTTTTGACTAATAAACTGTTATTCAGATAAACCATGAACGTATGAAAAAGACAAATGAATAAACATCAATTTTACTAGAAAAACACAATAGAACTCATATACAAAGTATTCAATACACATATATAATTGACCTAGTGTTTAATCATAACACGTTGGAATCAATGTGAAATACGACGACAATTATCTCTCTTTATACTGTGTCTCAAAGATACCGTGGATTTCAACGATTTTAGTGTACGGGACAACCATTATCGATTATTTACTAAGAGAGAAGAGAACAAATTACAGGAGTAAAAACGTGACGTGCACACAAATAAACTCACAAATCTGTCAGACAACATCAGTAGTACTTATTATCAAGATAAACAATTTATTTCTACACATTCAGTGTCCTTTGAATCAAGTGTATAAAAGATCTACTAGACAATGAATCCACTTGTTCAACCTGTTAACATCCAACTCAACATACACATAACACTCATTTCGGATGCATTCGGTCATAATACAAATAAAAGAACAACATCAACACAACATACCATGCTGAACGAACAGATTTCGGTTCGTATTTCTTCACAAATCTCTCCAGTTCGTTTAAACTTGTGCCAGTGTCAACCATATCTTCCACAATGAGTACGTCCTATACAGAAGAACCAAATGATCATTATAAATTCTCTCCATTTCCGCTCAACCTACCTTATCTCTGAACTTCTCCATATTTGTACACGGAGTGATTTTGGTATCATGACCTACGGAATCATCCTGAATAAAATGATAGACATTAATTCACAAAATGTCATTACTACTTACAACGTATGTACTTGCAGCGACGAAGTCGATACTAACTCTTATGTAATTTTCACGTGTAAATGAATACTTTTGTAACGTTTTCCATATTTCGGAAGCGAATCTGAAGCCTCCTTTCAATATACAAATCACGTAGACAGATTGTACACCAGATTTCTCATAATCATCCAGTATATCAATAGACATTCTTTCCAAACGACTTCGAACCATTCCACCCGGAATTAAAATGTTTGAAATATGTTTTTCATAGATTTCTGGTAAAGTGAAATTCTTCGCTGAATATCCTTCATAACTATCATCAAACTAATGGAAAACACAGGCAAACAGATAGTGAAGACAATATGAAGACTTACAATTATGCAATCACTCTTGTATTCATGTGAATTCATTTCAGTGCTATCAAATAATTTATTCGCAGTGAAGAAGAAACTAATGAGATTATATAGAGTTAAGCATACAGTTGATCATCCAACCAGATTTCTCGTCGCGATAACCAATCAACTATCGACTTGATAGAAAGTCGAATTATAACGATAATTCTATAGGAGGAAATCGAGAATGAGATTGTTTGAAGAATATATTGAATTCATTGCACTTCATTGCTATATACATAAAAATAAATGATCATGAAGGTGTTTATGCATTGTATTTTAGCGATTAGCATGGTAATGATACAGGACTCAAGGTTATCAGGAAACATTGTCCCACTGATTGTATTATAGGAATAAGGGTATTCAAGTGTTATTTACTTAAGTTTTTCACTCGATTACGTTGCTTGATAATTCACAAGGATTTATTGTATGAAATGAAATACAAATGATTGTTGTCATCAGTGAAACATGCAACTACTTGTTGCAATGTGTTAGGCATTAATTATTATAATCGCACAGATTGTGTGCATTCATAGTTTACTAAATTGAAAGTACTCAATTGTGCTGCTCAATCGTGTTGCAGATAGTTACTGGTGAAAATAATTATGGTACATTAGAAATATTAAATGGTGATTAGTGCATAAACATGATCTGATCATATTCACAACTATAAACTGATTGGCATTCGTTGATAGTGCCATGAGTGTTAGATGTGTGAGTTGTTGGTTAAAAGGAGCTCTATTTCACTTTTTGTATAACTACTCATTTCACATTAAACTAATTCACAGTCTTGTTCCATTGAAAGACTACGCTTTTGTCAAAAGCGAAAATTTTCATATCATGTGAGTAGTCATTCTGATGATGAATGAACCATTCGTTTCATCATTAGGAATGGTGATGGCATCATCAATCCATCCATGATCAACAGTTTTGTTGAAACGATACATTTATATTATTCAGTCAGATGTGCTTCCCCATATCAAATCTTCAATTTCAATTTATTCAATTCTAAATCTTACCAGAAATCTTCAACTACATTTCAGACTGATTATTATTCTTGAATATTCAATAGTAGTGTATGACCATAGTGTAATTACACTGAGACATTCCAACATACACAAGGAATGTTAATGAAATCAGAGTAAGTTGACCTGGAGTAGACTTTTAGATTTCCAAGACTAATTATTGAATAAATGAATGAATGCAAATTGCTTTGATGAAATTTGTTCATTTGAGTTTATTAACTAAACAAATACCATAACTTAGTTTAAAATTGACATAATCAAATCACAAATTAGTGTGGAATGTTAATGATGGCGTAAGTGAATTGACCGTGTTTATCTTGTTTATTGCCAAATCATATGCCTTCATAAGCGTTGTAATTCAATTCATTCAATTTATTCACAGATAAGGTAATAATTACAAATTACAATTTAATGGTGATGATGATAATGATAATGAGGACGAATGGTATTTTTCATTATCTATGCTGACTGGTTGGATGTCATCGGTAAGACATTGTGAATGTTGCACATTATATTACATGATCAATACAGTGTTCTATCAAAACGGTAGTTCACGGAACAAGTCAATATCAGTAAGTTAAAATTTGACGTCTACACCACTCTCCAACATTCACACATAAGCACTGTGAAGTTGAATTACAACTTCCATGTTGTGGAACGATCGGTCTGGAATTGTTCATTACTGGTCAGACTTTTTTGTCAGGTGACAGTTTATTTAATTGAAATCTATCATGTGAATTGCATCCAGTTGTCTTGATGCGGCCGTGAGTGGAGAGAGTTCGTTCCTACTCTCGAAATTCCCTCATATGGACACGCGTATACAGCGACACCTAGGGACGTCTTTAAGGCTGACTAAGGCTCTGGATGCAGCCATCTACGAAAACAACCTGATTAGGTCTGCGCACCTGGATAGTATCATAGTCCATACATAAATCAAGTGACTTGAGTGGAGCATATATATACGGTGCTCTTTTGTACTAATATTTATATATTCAACTAATATAAAGAAATAAATCATGAGAATCTTTTATCGTTCATTGTCCGCATAAATGCAACGAATAATTTGACACATGTAAGAATTTGGATGCTCCAAATGAGTCGATACGTGATGACAATTAAATATTGAAAGACTTAATCAAACATAACGTCTGAAATACGTTAATATTTTACAATTTCTATTTCGATAATTAATTTATCATCATTATAATGACGTCTCCAACTGTCTGATTGCTTACTTGGTTCTTCATATTGTTATTTCGTTATATGTAGACAACTTGATTTTATTACTTTCTAAAACAGGCTTGGCTGATCAGATTTCTCCACATTTTCAAGCACATGATAAGTTCTCTTTCCACAACCATAATATCCATTTCTGGACATTGTGAAAACCGGGATTGAAGTATTGTTATATGATAGTGGAAGCAGCTATCAGACACAAATGAAGTGAGGAATTCGTTCCAGCTCTTGATCATTCTAGTGTAAATGAGGTGGTTCTTGTACGTTCCACCATGTCAAGGTATATTATATCGATCTGATGGTTGATGGAAATAACCCGTGATTTGAAGTGAGTACTATTCTATTCACTGGAACACAAAGTGTATACCATATTGCCGACTGATTTTCATGCTGGACATGAGCAAATCTTTAGTGAACGATACTTCTCCATGTCTGTTGCGATTTCTGATTATTTTGACTGAATGAGCGAAGGAATGAATGAATGAACGAATGGAGTAATGATCGTGTGTATTGATCAGTGGACCGTATGATATCCATTATTGACCATAGCTGTCCAATCATTCACATGTAGTTTTGAGCAATGCGTGAAAACACTCAACCAGATATGTCATAGAAGAAGTCGTTTCGCTTACTTCCATCAATCGAATAAGTCTAGTTTGACAGAATTCCGAATGTATACATTAGTGTAATGGAAATCAGGTTTGGCCACAATTGGCTTGAAGTGCTTAAGGAGCCTGGGTTTGGTCGAGTGAATTTTGTACACAATACTACTCGTAGAAGTCAACCACCCACACTCTCGGAGAGTGGTGGGTTATCATACTATCTGAGATTGTGTGGCAAAAGATGTTGGATGTCGATTTCGTTCGTTCATCACATTGACGGTTTCGACTCGTAGTGGCTGGTACTATGCCAAACACACATAGGTTATTCTAGCTACTGAACAGATCAATTTATTAACCCTTCTCAAACCACATTTTCACCTTGTCAATTATTCGCTTATTATACTAAACTGTTCTTATATGACCGTATACGTGCTCATTGCTTACCCTATTCATCACGTGTAAGTCTGATATGCATTATTCTTGTCTGAATATAAATATTGAGTCACGCCTAATCGAAACGAGTTCGCTCACTCACCTTCTCCTCTACGCCTCACTTCATTTCGGTTCATTTCGTCTCGTTTCGTTTCGTCTCGTCTCGTCTCATCGCGTCTTGTTCACTTCGCTCTCTTCACTCCGTTTCTCTGATTGTTTGTCTGCATCAATCAGTGTTCGAAATATATCAATTCAGAATGCATTCTCGTATTTGGCTTGCTTTATTCCGTCATTGTCTAACGCGAATTGAGTCGATAGTTATATACGAGGATTGAAGGCATGTATATTTCTACAACAATCAGCATACGTTCTAATTGGTGTCAGATCACAGCACCACTAAACGCTTCCTATTCACCACTTGTATTCTCACTCAAGTAGCAAGATTGTCTGGCAAATAGGAAGCATGTTTCAGCATCGACCGATCACTCAGCATGACACTTACCAAGAATCAATCACTAAACAATCTGACAATTGCTTTCATGAAATTACTAAGTGAATTGAGAAGAAACCAATTTAGAGGAAGTGACGAGTGTATGTATGAAATCAACACTGATCAACGTTAGAAAGTCATATAAAGAGAATTAAGATGAATATTTCTGTAGAAAATTATCTTAATAATAATAAACCACCAAATATGATTACGTTACGTGGGCGAATGAACAATAGATTGACCTTCGGAACTTGATGTATGAGAATACTGTCTCATTATGACAAAACAAACAAACAAACAAACACAAAAATGAAACTATCTATTGTTTCTCATAGACTACCTTCCTTATGATAGTGGCACGTACTTAAAGTGAATTTGTTTTGTTTCATTTTCTTTTCATATTTCTATTAAATTAAGTTAGGAATTCCAGTAATTCACTTAGTAAATTAGAGTTTAGACATTTAATAAAGAAAAACAGATTGGCATAGATTAGAATAAAATAGAATGGACTAATGATAATGAATTTTATTGTAAACTATCATTTTATATCTGCTTTTATATTATTATGATTTATTTTGTATTTTAGGTAATTTCTTCCATTCTGTAAAGTAATTGATGGGATTTTTTGAAATATAGCAAACCAGAGCGACCAGTCAACAACAAAGAATGCAAGGAAATCTTTGAGACTCAAGAACAGCGGAACGGGTGAAGAAAACACTATGAAGAACTCTTGAATAGACCAACCTCATTGAACCTACAAGACATCGGGATCAAAGTCTTCCTCCTTAATTCTCCATTAAGGTTAGTTCTGGTCAATACCCTCCAGTGGTTCCCAGTTTTTATTCATTCTTCTAATTTCTCCTTGCAGCTATCGATGCAACGTGTTCCTTGGTCTTCCTTCAAGTTTCCATGTTGGAATTGCTTTATAATTTAGATATTCATTTATTCATTTATTTGAACACATAAATATTTTTACAAAGAGGCACCATTTTAGATATACACCACACAATAACAATGCCAATGGGAAGAGATAGGGAATGTAAACTTCGTATTAAAAAGGGGGAAAAATGAACAGAAATTAGTGTATGATAGTAAAATAATAATAATAATAATAATAATAATAATAATAATAATAATAATAATAATAATAATAATAATGAAGAGGCACTTCAGTTAGCGAAGGTACAACCAGAAACAATTCTTTTAATTAAAGAAGTTACATCCATTTTTATG